ATTGCCACACCTTTTGGTATTGTAGGATCTAATGCAATGTCTCTTTGCCACAACAAAGTGGCTAGTTAATCCCCTTAAACTACAGTGACATGTCAAGAGTTCATAATTCGTCCCTGTGGGTTGCAGTTACAGTAGCTAAATTGCCCTTCACACTTTATGTTCACCACAACAGTTCTTTTTACATGTCTCCTACTCATGGTCTCCTAGTCTGTCATTTCAGACCTAGATCAACCAGCCCAGTCAAGCCATTCATATTGGGGTGTGTGTGTGTGTGTGTGTGTGTGTCATACTTTTCTCAGGCTTACTCTCTTTTCTCACAGAGTGAAGGTCCAGAGTTAATGTGAAAACTAACCATCAGGAAGATTTTCCCTCTCCGTCTTTCAAGGGCACATAAAGGAGGTCTCTAGTATATTCCAAATGCATTTTCAGCTTGCCCTGACATACGAAGTGAAATCACATACCATATCAAGACAATCTATCTGTAAAAACAAGCATGGTCTTTCTACTCTATCTGCTGGTTATATTGGAACCACCCAAAAGGGACACAGTGTGAGCTCATGGAGAGGCATGGTAGAAGCATGGTAGGAAATACAGGGGCTGACTACCTGCTCAAATAATTTACTTCCATCCTCCAATATTGCTTGTGAACTGGGTTTACCACATTTACTTCACCATGAAATCCTGCCTACCCAGCCAGTTTTATGAATTAGTGAGTGCAACGGAACTTACCTCATGGTTGGCATTTCTGGCTACCAGGCAACTTGGTGTTTTATGGACAGGCACTTCATCTCTACCTGGATTCACTATCATGCCAGGAACGGCTTTTCAAATGGCATTTTCCTCTGTGGATGGCATAATTTTATCAATGATCTATCAGGCTGCCTTATGATTCTCCCATGGGGGCTTGCTATAAATTCTACACAGTGTCTTTCTGTAATACTAACAAGTCTGGAACCATAGGGTCTGCCAAATCCTACAGTACGAAAATAGGATGGACTTGCATTACATTTCAGACCTTCTTCATCATCCTTTTCTGCTCTGATACTCACCAAGAGCTGTTAGTCTTTTGTGTCACATATTATATGAGTTAAAACATCATTACCAATTGTGAAACATGGTAATTCCATAAACCTAAGGGCCTACCAAATATTCTGTGTGTTTGTTTTTCTCTCTTATTGTGGAAAGTGTAAGTTACAATAATTTCCCTATTACCTTAAAGGAGCCATTCCAGTATATCCATACCCTAAACCAATGGAAGCCTAATATTTCCTACTAATGATGAATGCCCCTGAATGTACGTAAGCTTTATTTCAACCCTCTGTAATGCATGTATCTTACCAAAACTTTTAACCTACTGGCCAATTCTTGCAAATTGGGAGAATTAATGTAATACAGTTGATACAGAAGATCAATGTCATAGTCTCTGTTTTTCTTCAGACCATATTATGGCAGAGAAAAGAAGAGTTGGGCAAGACTAGAAATGTATGTTGTTCAGGATCCCATCTATACGCAAATTGTTTGGTTTTAGTTGTTGTTATTTAAGGTCTTCTGAGAAGCACATACAAAGACGTAATTAGACAATGAAGAGATTTAATGGGCAGGAGAAGGTAGGCAGAACATTCTAACCTTGCAATAGGATTTGTAACTATAAAAACAACAGGAAATAAAGAAGAATTGATTTGGGAGAGTCGCAGACTGCAGTGAAGCTCTGAGAAGTTCTTGACCAAGTAAACGAGAAGCCGCAGAGGAAAAAATGCCCATTAGTGGAGTACTACATTGGGCTAGAAACAACCCAACTTTATTCCCTAGTCATGCTCTTCTTTGTCTATGAGAAATCTGAAGAGAATGCAGCCTTGTCATGAGACTGCTCGAAATCCAAATGTGTGGCAGATGGAGGATTGTTACCATCTACGCTGCTCACAATAGGTTCTCTCAAAAGTACATCTGAGTAGCACAACTCCATGGCTGTCAAAACCTGACTCTGATCAGGTTTTAACACCTATATTTATAATTTTCTTCTGAAAGAAAGCATCTCTTTTCTAGATCAGGCATTAGAATTAATTATAGCAATAACAACATCACTTTCCCTTATCCCAATCTCTCGGAGGCAATGAAATTAGGGCAGTTGTCAACTGCACTTTTGGGTTTGTGCCACAGAAGAGGAGCCCTCAAGTGACAAATCTAGGATCTTATAAGGAGCTGCTGTACAGCTGCCACCCTCCCCTCCTGAGGAAAGAAGAGAAACCTTATTTTCCTAATGTAAACAATTCTCAAATAAAAGTCCCTAGGTTTTTGCCTTCCTTCATGGCTTGAGGTTTTATTCCTCTTCAAAGTGTAAACACATAGATAAATTTATACATCTCTAAGAAGTATTTTATTCTTGAATTTCTGTTCAACAATCCATTATCCTAGATTGCCTGTATTTTTTGCTCTGAAAGCCATGAACATTCAGAAGGATAAAAACATTTTTTGTTACAATTTCATACTTCTTGTACAGCACAAATACACTTAACATATGCACAGGCAGGAAGCAGCTCCTCTCTGGCTCCTACGGGCCTCTCTTTCTCAGTTCAAATTTAGAAGAGGGAGGTTAGTGACATGCAGGCCCAGCTACGTAGTTGTTTTCAAAGCCAAGCTTGGCTCCCATCACCTTCTTCCTCTATTATTTATTCTAAATTCTCATGCTCAGCTATCATCTTTGCAGGTTTTGGTTTCTTATGTGGTAACTCAAATTCTCATTCCTGAGTGATGTGAGTTCTTCACAACTATCCTCTTCTGAGGCCAGAACTGCTGCATAAATACATTTATGGTTAGAATTAGAAACTAAAACACTATGGTTTACTAAAGTGAATCATGTGGGTTACACACCTATTCCTTCCTTCCCTAATTGTGTAAAATCATCTGTTATCTGCTGATCAGAAGAAATCACCCTTGTCAAGATCATGAGTTCTTTACTTATCTTCTGGTCCCTATACACAAAATATCTAAAGTACTTAGATGGCAAGCACCTAAAAAGCTAAAATGTGTAGTTTAATGTGATGCTTGCTGTATCATGAGAAAGTGCTCTTATGTAGTCTAAAATTCTCCTTAATTCATTATTACATCCCACCACCCTTGATTCAGCACCTTCAGAATCCAATCACACACATACCATCCCGTCTCCTTCTAGTAATTGTTGGCCAAGATCTGCAATTCATTTATGATGCCTTCTGTAACATTAATAAAAATGTCTATTCCTTTCCATACCAGATAATATTGTGAATTAATGCTTATAGTAGGCTAAATAATGGCCACCCCAAAATATTAAGTCCTAATCCTTGAGACATAAAAATGCTAAGTCCTAATGCTTGTGACAAAAAAATGTTATGAGGCAAAAGGGTCGTTCAGATGTGTTAAGAATCTTGAGAAGGGAAGATTATCCTGAATTACTAGGGTGAGCCCCAAATACAATTTCATGCACCCCTGTAAGAGGGAGGGAGAGGGAGTTTTAACATGACAGAAGAGGGGAAGGCAAAGTAAAGATAGAGGCAGAAATTGGAATGATAAAACCACAAGCCAAGAAATGCCAGTAATGACCAGAAATCCTGACAGCGCTTTGATTTGGGATCACTGATACTGACTTCAGACTTTTAGCCTCCATAACTATAAGATAATACATTTCTGTTTCTTTAAGTCATCAATTGTGCTAACTAGTTAAAGCAACCACTGGAAACTAATACAATGCTAATCATTAAGACTGCACTCAGGAAGAGATGTAAGGTTACATGATGAGGGGAGCACATTTTTTCAACAAGGAAGATAACTATGCATTTTTTCAATAGCTGAGTTTTCTGCTTTAGCACAGAGGACTGGGACATTATGCAGGTACAGAGGTGCCATGAGAGTCTGAGATTTGTTGACTTCTGAATACATTGACAAAGACAACTCTATATGAAGTCTCAGAGCCCCAATCCTTTCTATGAGGTCTCTGACCTCAGTGTAACATATTGCTAGCATTGAGAATACAGCCTTCTCTGTAACTAAGACTTAGCCATGATCCTGAGCTTTTCCTATGTTCCAGCTGTAGGAAATGAGTCTCTTTACATGCTGCCAAGGAGGCCATCTGGCTTTCACACTTGGGTTTTAATTGGAGATTAATCATCCCTAGACGTTCTAAAGCATTGAAGAAACTCAGCAGCACCTGCTGGATTTTATAGAATTAGTATTACTAATTCATATGAAACTCTCAAAATCCTGAGCCATTGGACTTGCTAGTATATTCCTTTGCATTGGTATTTCTTCTCAGTTAAATGCCAATGGAAGGTTAATAACTATACCACTACCACAAGCCATACTAATGGGCTATTAGTCATCCAACTACCACTAACGACAGGTTCTTCACAGCCAACCAACTAGCAAGCCATCCAACCCCAAACTCCCATTTTAGAGTTGGCTACTTTGGTTGACTCCTGGCTTCAAATGTTTAGGGTCAGGTTTCCTAGGAAAACAACTCTGACACACAGATTTACATAAAAAACTCTTTTTTGCTTATTTTTTGGTCTTTGTTTTGTTTGGCCGGGAAAGAAGGGGTTTTCTTTGTCATCCTGGTCCTTAATAGTTTAGCCAAGGCTCCTCTCAGCTGCTCTCCTGCCCTGCCCTGTCCCCTACAGCCCTCTCTTGGAAGGACTCCCCTGCCCACCAGTGGAGGATGCCAATGTGACATGAAGGCTGCTGGGAAATGTAGTCCATGGTCCTAAAGGGCCCGCTCTGAGTCCCAGGAACCCCTCTTCTAGCTGCAGGATGGGCTCAAACCTTTTAAGCCTAGAATTTACAACAGTTTGGGGGCCTTTCTCTCTTGGTTCTGCAATTAGCCCTATCCAGAACACTTTGCAAAGCTTAAGAAGAGCCCAGGGCTATTCACAACTTCCCCTTCCTCTAAGGCCTCCATCACAGTGAGGTAACAGAATTGTGATTTTGACATCATAGACAATTCAGTTCCTTGCACTGGGGGAAAGGGAGAGAATCATGATTACAGTTGGATCACCTAAGGCAGAGAGGGAAGGAACCAACAGGTATATGAAGAAGACTGTATTTCCTCCTCAGGAAGAAAAAAATCACTTATAAGTAAGTCTCCACCACCGTCTCTCACTTCAACCAATGTTTCAAGTCCTTTTTAAAAGCCCTGAATTTAGACGTTAGAAGGTGAAGAGATTGGGGAACAACTAGACGGTTACTGGTTGTTACGTAAATTTGAATCTCAGCTAGCATTAAAGATGGTTCAAAGAAATTGGCAAAATAATGGAAAAAGAAGAGGTTTTAAATAATGCCTTCATGCTGTGATTTCTTTGTAGGGCAGAATTTTAGATTTTTAATGTATTGGAAAGTAGTATTAATGCAATTAATTGTCATGGTTATATTTAGTAACAAAGTTCCCCAGAAACATCTGTTTTCTCTACATATTTTGTATTCTGCTTAAGCCTAGATAGATATTTTGAACCCAGAAAATTTGAGACAGGTTTCAGTTAATTTATAAAGTTTATTTTGCCAAGTTTGAGGATGCACACCCATGACACAGCCTCAGGAGGTTCTAATGACATGCGCCCAAGGTGGTCAGAGCACAGCTTGGTTTTACACATTTTAGGCAGACATAAAACATCAATCAATATATGTAAAATGAACATTGGTTCAGTCCAGAAAGGTGGGAAAACTCAAAGCAGGGAGGGGATTTCCAGGTCACAGGTAGGTGAGAGACAAACAGTTGCATTTTTCTGAGTTTCTGATTAGTCTTTCTAAAGGAGGCAATCAGATAGGCATTTATCTCAGGGAGCAGAGGGATGACTTTGAAAAGAATGGGAGGCAGGTTTGCCCCAAGTAGTTCCCAGCTTGAATTTTCTTTCTGGCTTAATGATTTTGTGGTCCAAGAAAATTTCAATGGTCAATTGAGACAAACAGATCTGAGATATTTCCACTGATTACGACAAGGTGGCAGGTTTACGGATAACATTCATTAGGTTTCTGAACTTTCTGAGCAGACTTGGTGACACTGCCAGCTCTAGCAGCCTTCTTGTTCACACTTTGATGATGTTACTGAACCCTGATTTGAATGCTTGCTGTTCAAAAGAGAGATATGTGAGGCTGAGGCAGGAGAATCGCTTGAACCCGGGCAGCAGAGGTTGCAGTGAGCCGAGATACCGCCACTGCACTCTAGCCTAGCCTGAGCGGCAGCGGCAGAGACTCCATCTCAAAAAAACAGAAAACAGAAAACAAAAAACCCTTAGTCTGTAATAAAGTGTGCCTCTGACCTAACTCTGCCAGAAGCCCTCTTCAAGGGCGACCTTTCGTGATTCTTTCCTCTTTAATTCTTACATTTACCATGAGATTAAAATATATATATATATATTTTTTTTTTTTGGAATATCTTTAACTTATGAAGTGACAGAGCACTACACTGAAAACGACCAAACTTTGATGAGACGCAATATCGTTATGATGTTAGTTCTCCCTGAAATGACTGGTAGTTCCAATGCTTCGTTATATAATCCAAGAAGGCTTGTAATAAAAATTAACAAGCAGTTCTAAAGTTCATATAAGAATATAATAACTTAAAAAAATCAAATCAGGTTGAAAATGAATAATAAGTTGCAAGATACTTTAAAAAACTATACAGTCTTAAAGGAATTTTCTTTTTAATCATTGGTAGGAAATTTTCTTAGGGAGACTGAAGGAGCAACCATAAAATAAAGAAATTGATAAGTTGAAATTAATCAAAATTTGAAACATTTGCCCATCAAAACACCCCATAAAATAAAAAATCAATTACATATGGTAGATATACTGCTTGAGAATTTTAGATTAAACAATTAAATAGTAGATTCTTAAATTACATTTTTAGCTACAAAATAAAACCATGCTCAGCTTTTGTTTTAAAACATATTCTAATTTATATTCAATCGATAAAATAATTATTTCCAAGTAAGATTAATACTGATGTGACATTAAGGGTTAACTGTAAATGAAGGTTAAGTGATCTCTAAGTAATTTTGAGAATGAAAACTTGTGGGGAAAAGAAAGAGAGATACACTCCATTTTGTTCTATATTTGAGATGCTGTTAATCTGTGACCCTACCCCCAACCTTGTCCTTGCTAGAGACATGTGCTGTGGTGACTCAAGGTTTAAAGGATTTTGGGCTGTGCAGGGTGCACTTTGTTAAACAAGTGCCTGAAGGCAGTATGCTTGTGAAAAGTCATCACCATTCTCTTAATCTCAAGTACCCAGGGACAAATACACTGCCAAAGTTCACAGGGACCTCTGCCTAGGAAAGCTAGGTATTGTCCAAGGTTTCTCCCCATGTGGTAGTCTGAAATATGGCCTCGTGGGAAGGGAAAGACCTGATCGTCCCCCAGCCTGACACCCGTGAAGGGTCTGTGCTGAGGAGGACTAGTAAAAGAGGCAAGAAGTCCTCTTGGCAGTTGAGATAGAGAAAAGCATCTGTCTCCTGCCCGTCCCTGGGCAATGGAACATCTCGGTGTAAAACCCAATTTTATGTTCCATTTACTAAGATGGGAGAAAACCGCCTTAGGGCTGAAGGTGGGACTTGCTAGCTCAATGCTGCTCTTTGTGCACTAAAAAGGTTTATGGAGATGTTTGTATATGCATATGAAGGCACAGCACTTTTCCTTAAACTCATTCATGTCACAGAGATCTTTATTCATATGTCTTACTGCTGACCTTCTCCCTACCATGCTCCTATTATCCTGCCACTTCCCTTTTTCTGAGATGGTAAAAATAATGATCAATAAATACTGAGGGAACTCAGAGACTGGTGCTGGAGCGGGTCCTCTGTATGCTGAGCGCCGGTCCCCAGGCCCCACTTTTTCTTTACACTTTGTGTCTCATTTCTTTTCCCAAGTCTCTCGTTCCACCTAACGAGAAACGCCCACAGGTGTGGAGGGGCAGGCCACCCCTTCAAAAACTCTTTGAGGCTGAGATCTAGTCTATTATTAAAATAAAATGTGAGAAATTAAGAGATACAATTGTTTATAATAATAATATTACAATTTATTTAAAGTTAGCCTGATCCCTTTTTCCCAATATATGTAATTGGTAACTAAATATTATGAAGCACTATGCACCCTTTATCCTTAAGTCATTTTTATTCTTTAATCACAGAACACTGAAAATGATGACAATTCATATATTCATAGAATAGCTTCAGGTTACAATAAAAGTATTAGATGTACTTTCACCATTTCCACATTATTTTCTAAAATTATTTTAGTATTATCTGAGGAAATTGCCTTAATAATTTCTAAAAAGAAGAAAACGTATACATCTCAAAACTCACTTATTATTCAAGGGCTTCTAATAAAAGCTGTAGAAGCCTTGCTTTCAAAGGCAATTTTTACTCTCACAACAATTTTCAATTTATACTTCAAAATGGGTCAAAAATAAATGAGCTATTAAAGACTACTGGGTTCAGCATCACTGCTCTTATCATTTGCAAATTGATGTATCTTTATATCAATCAAAATAAAGTGATTCAACAATAATATTCATCTAATGTTTAGCTGTTGTTAGAAAGTACATTATTCTGTACAAATACTCAAGGATAGAATCCCATGGTAAATGTAAGAATTAAAGAAAGAGGAAAGAATCACGAAAGGTGGCCCTTGAAGAGGGCATCTGGCAGAATTAGATCAGAGGCACACTTAGTTACAAACTAAGAGTTTTTTTTTTTTTTTTTTTTTTTTGAGATGGAGTCTCTGTCGCCCAGGCTAGGCTAGAGTGCAGTGGCGGTATCTCGGCTCACTGCAACCTCTGCCTCCCCGGTTCAAGCGACTCTCCTGCCTCAGCCTCCAGAGTAGCTGGGGTTACAGGCACACACCACCATGTCCAGCTAATTTTTTTTTTTTTTTTTTTTTTTTGGATTTTTAGTAGAGATAGGGTTTCACCATGTTGGTCAGGCTCGTCTCAAACTCCTGACCTCGTGATCCTCCTGCCTCGGCCTCCCAAAGTGCTGGGATTACAGGCGTGAGCCACCGCGCCCGGCCTCAGACTAAGAGTTTGTAAGTATTCAAGGTGATAATGTTTATCAGAGGCTTGGACTGCTTCTGTGTCTTTTTGTTGTGCTTTTCTGGGAGGGAGAGTTGTGTGTCTGTTCCCATACATCTTTCTGCAGCTGCAGACATACACCCTGAGTCTGCTTTTAGATTTCCTATCTTAGTGCACCTGAAGGGAAAGGAATGTGCTTATTAAGGCCCACTGTTTTACTGGGGCTCATTGTATGAGAGTGGAGTTTGGCAGTTACCCAAAAGACTTTTCCCCCACCTCCCTCTGTGCCTGAGCTGTCTTGTCTGTATTTTATTGTCTGCTCTTTGTGGCTGCTTGTAGTTAGAAGAGAAGCTTCTACATGATTTCCTGGAAATGCGTGAGACTAGAAAGGGAGCTGGAACTTAAAGTGGCGGTGTTTGTCCAAGATGATGGTGCTCCTCCTCTGTTATAAGGACCACTTTTATAATTTTTTAGTTTTTATTGCTAGGTTATAAAAAGAAAATTATTATTATATACTAGATTTTACTAAAAAACATTTATTAGAATCCTTAGCATTTTCTTAACACAGACATATTATACACACACAAGAGTTTTTGCTTATTTCTCTATCTGTATCCTTTCTAGCTCTTAGATTATGCCACCATTTGTTCTTTCTAGCACAATACTGAATATAAATATTAAGATGGGCCTGGCGCAGGGCCTCACACCTGTAATCTCAGCACTTTGGGAGGTTGAGGCAGGAAGATCACTTGACCCCAGGAGTTCAATAACAGAATGGGCAACATAGTGAGACCCTGTCTCCACACACAAAATGAAAGTAGCTGAGGTAAGAAGATTACTTAAGCCTGGAAGGTAGAGGCTGCTGTGAGCCATGATTGAGCTATGACACTCCAGCCTGGGTCAGAGACCCTGAAAAAAAAAAAAAAAAGAGAGAGAGAGAGAAAAGAAAAGAAAAAAAAGAGAAAAGGGAAAGGAGAGAGGGATGGAGGGAGGAAGGAAAGAGAAAGAAAGAAAGAAGGAAAGAAACAGAAAAGTAAAAAGAAACGAAATGAAACAGAAAGAAAAGAAAAGGAAAAGAAAGGAAGGAAGGGAGGGAGGGAAAAGTTAAAAGTTAAGATAACATACTCTTAATCTCCAAATTAAAAGAAGCCATCTAATATTTTAACAATAATAATCTTAGTTGTAGATTATACACAATCTATTCTAACCTTAGAGTTAATTTCTATTCCTATTTTATGAAATTTTTTTTTTAAATTATAAATTGGTTTTGGATTTTGTCAATACATTTCCTGAATATGTTGAGATAATTCTTAAAATGTTTTTGTTGATAATGTGCAAGACTACTTTGTTTGATTTAAAATATTAAAACAAACTTCCATAATTGGGATAAACCCGTGCCTTAGTGTGTTAAAATTTTTATATGCTTTTACAATTTGATTAAGAAATTCATATTTTATTTTTGAGTGACTTAAATGAGATAAATAAAATACAATTCACCTTTATTTCCTGAAAGAAGTTTATAAAATTACTATGTTTTCATTATTAAAAGTTTGACAAAATATACCAATGAAGCCACCAGGTCCTTGAGACTTTTTGCAAAATGTTTTAAAAGTATAATTCTTCTAAAGTGATGTAGGGCCCTTTAGTGTTTTAAATTCCTTTTGTATCATGTTTGCTAAACTGAGTTTTCAAGAACTTTGTTCATGTCATGTAAATAATTTATTAATGTAAACAGTTTTCTTCATATTGTTCACTAGTTTAAAGTCTTTACAATGTCTAATGGTACCTCCATCATTTCTAATGATTATTTATTTTTTCATTTTTTATCTTGATCAACTCTGTTAGGAATTTATCAAAATAACTAATATGTTCTATCTGGAAGCTTAAATTTATGTTTCCAACTTTGTTAATGTCTACCTTCATTTTTAGTATTCCCTTTGTTCTACTTTCAATTTGTGTGGATTGGCTTTCTAACTTCTCAATATGGTATATTACATAATCAATATACAATTGTTTGTCAGTATTATGATTTTTAGTTATAGAATTTTCATTTTAGTAGATTCTATTTCTATAGAGTCTTGTTCAACCAACAGGATGACACTGTTCTTCATGTCTGTATTTATATTTATAATGGTAGCATAAAAGTCCTTGTCCTCTATTTCCAACATACGGGTCAACCCTTGATGTGTTCCTACTTATTGCAGTTTTTCCCATATACTACATGTATACACACACACACACACACATATACAAATGTATATATACACACATACATACACACACACACAATCTCCTTGAACAGATTCAGGAGTATCCACCAGTAATTTAGTTGCCTGACAAAATTGCCTTCATAAGTTTCAATTAAATAATCTAATTGCTTCATGAGAGTTCTTCGCTCTGGCAGAGCTTTAGCTTCAGAAATGCGTAACCTTTGATTCTCTATGCATCAACAATGACTTGCTGCTAGGCTTCCCAGAGGCCTCAATGAATGGTCTTCCCAGAGGCCAAGCTTTTGGCCAAGGACTTTAGGAGAATCCCTTCACAGTTTTCTGGGTGGGGGTTCTCCTCTGTATAATTTTACCATTCCCAAAACCTGCCTAACAAATTTGCGAACTGAGAAGCTCCGATCTTCCCATGTATGCATCTCGGCTCAGCTTGGGATCTGCTTTCCTGATTAGGAATACATTCAAAGGTAAAACCTTGGGTGAATGTGGAGCTCACTTATGGATCCAGCCTCTTTGACTTTGCTGTTTGTTATCCAGCACCAGAAAACAGTTCACTTATAAATGTGTACAGTTTTGCAGTTGTTTAAAGTGAGAAGTTCACCTTAGCTATGGGTTGAGGAACCCATATTTTTAACACAACATGAAACAATAGAAAAGCAAATATTGTGAATTCAGAAAAGCTACTGAATCAAGCTTCTGCCTAAAACATACAGAAACTAATTTCACACACACACACAGATACACAAACACGTGCATTCATAGAAAATTATGAAGGTCTAATTTTAACAAAAATTATCTTGAGAACAAGAGGATTAGGAATGCTACTAACACTGTATAGTCACACCAAAAATCTGCTAAAAATATCATAACCTTAACCTGTTATTCAAAATGATTAAGAAACATTAAGATATTTATAGGACATATGAAAATACAATATGTGAAAGCTACAAATATCTGAAATGGGTGGCAGGAATGCAGAAATAATTAGTTTTTTTAAGTATTTAGAAATTAAGATTAAACAAATAAGAACTCAGGAATGAATTACAAAAATAATAATGCATTAAGAAGCATAAAAGTTAAAAAGAAAAGAAAAAGCAAAATATAAAAGCAATATAAGTTTTTCACCACAAAGTAATGAATATTAAATGTAGACAATAAAACTCTAAGTTAATAGAAATTTCTGAAGCAGTAAATCAGGCAAGGGAGCAGAACATATACTAAAATGTATTGTTCAGAAAAATTTTATTGAATTAAAAAAAGAAAACTACATAATGTTCCAGAATGATCAATATGTATTCCAGTAAAACTGCTAGACTTCAAGAAAAAGAATCAGTTCTTTGAGAATCTAGACAAAAACAAAGAAAAAAAAAAAAAGCATGAGGTATTTATATAGCATAAATTTATGGCAAAAATATATATCAGAAATAACATATTTTAAATTCTCAAAGAAAGACAATGGGGCCCTAAACTTTAGCCATTACTGAGAAATGGAATATTTAAGTTCCAAGAGTTCATAACTATTCCTTCAGTAAGAAAAAGAACAACTGAGTCTAATGTTGCCTTTCACTTGTGATAAACATTCTTTGGATGTAAATAACATTATGAAGAATAAGCTTCTTCTCTGAAGTAGTCAGAGAGCACAGATTGCTCATGATTATAGGCCAGATACAAGGACAAGAAAGTTGTAATAGTCAAACTTCATCTTTAATTAACTATTTTATTTATTTATTTATTTATTTGGAGACAGAGTCTCGCTCTTGCCCAGGTTGGAGTTCAGTGGCATGACCTCAGCTCACTGCAACCTCTACCTCCTGGGTTCAAGTGATTCTCCTGCCTCAGCCTCCCAAGCAGCTGTGATTACAAGCACGAGCCACCACGTTCAGCTGATTTTTCAATTTTTAGTAGAGACGAGGTTTCACCATGTTGGCCAGGCTGGTCCCGAACTCCTGATCTCAAGTGATCCCCCGCCTCGGCCTCCCAAAATGCTGCCATTACAGGTTTGAACCAATGTGCCCAGACTAAGTAACATTTTAATCAAAAGGTTGTATGAGCATCCCACAAATGAACAAGTGGTTGAATTAGAACCCTAAACTACAGATTAGCCATGGCCCATGACAATCACTGAAGGTTAACTGCATCAGGAGAAACAATGTTTAGAAGCAAAGAGAATACCATTTGTGGATCAAGGATGGAAGCCTGGAAGTGTATGGAGTTGTTTTCTGTTCTTTCTCCCTGGTCCACTTAAGGTTATCACAAGAATAGAGAAACTGAAGAATCATACACATGCATCCTACTCTTTGACTAAAATAAATTCCAGAAATCAATCAGGTAATTTTTTTTTTTTTTTTTTTTTTTTTTCCACCAGAAAAATGGTTTTGCCTTGAACTTACTTCCAGGGGACATGGAGAAGTTCTTGGACTATTTGGAAGACCCGTGATAGTCACGTAAATAAATATTATTATTTCCATTATAAAGATAAGGAAATTGAAGTCCAAAGTAAAGGAGCCATTAGTTAAGATCACACAAATATTAAGTGATGAAGAAATAATCCACCTTATGCAGTCTGACCCAATGAATTATATACAAAAACACCATACTATACTACCTCTCTTTGCACTACACAGAATATACTATTGAATTTATGTTGTTATATTTATAGATACTATCTTGATTTTATGCAACGTACTCTTGACTACTTTCTAGTTGAAGTATTTCTTCAAGAAAACCTTACATTATGTACATTCCAAATGTAGAAGCACATCTGGCAGCGCTTACACCACTGTCCTATTCTTAGGTTCACACAAAAACTGCAGTGAACTTCTCAGATCATTCAGTTTAGAACTGATGCTAAATGAGTGATGAAAGCCTCATGGATGCTTTGATTGCCTAAATTCCTTGGCTATTCACTGGGAAATAGTAAGAATTACATATTAACGTTCAACATGAGGGAACCAATTGCTTTATGTTGTAATATGGCTTAATATGTACTTACAAAAAGATGCATTGACTCAAATAGCAATCTCATCAGCTGACCAGGTTACTCATGTAATAGACACAGGTGAGTTATATTGACAATACGGAAGTAACTCCATTTGTAACACTGGTAATTCTAAGAAACATCACTGCTAGCTGTAGAAAATGTGACTCTGTGTATTTAATTAGCAATATTAGAATTACCTGACATTACACTGTGTCAATTCTAAACTCTTCAGTGAGAAGAAAGACTAAGAGGGTAAAGTAGAACAATTTGTTCATAACTTTACCTTGTGGCGTTACATAGTCTATACGTTTGTAATGTATGCATGTAGTGTTAACAAGATGTGTTTGTGTGCAAGCAAGGGCAAGTGATGTTGACTTCTCACCTCTGTAAGCCAAACAATATAGGGAAAAAACTTTAAAGATACCAGTTAAAATTAAATATCAGGTCTCACATGCTGAGGAAGAAAATATTTTGTACATATTATAAATGAGACTTTCAGAGTTAAAAAGCATGAATACTTTTTTTCTTACCACACAGTTATAAGTGACTGAGTAAATATCTGAGTCCAGCTTATTTCTGAAGCCCACATGCTTAATACTGTGTAGTTTTACATTTTTTTCAGAAGACAATAATAATACATCAGCTGAGTGAGTATAAGCCAATATATGTACTTCTTAAATAAAAGTCAATATTTACTGTAGTATTTTCTTAAGGCTGCCATAAGAAAGTATCAAAAATGGATGGCTTAATGTAACGCATGTATTTTTTCACAGTTCTGGAATGTAAAAGTCTGAAATCAAGGTGTTGGCAGGGTGAGTTCTTTATGAGGACTTTGAGGGAGAATCTGTTCATTGCCTGTCTCCTAGTTTCTAGTGTGTGCCTGCAATCCTTGATTTTCCTTGACTTGCAGGTGCATCACTCCAGTCTCTGCCTTTGTCTTCATGCGGTGCCCTTCCTATCTCTGTCTTCTTCTTATAAGGATGCAAGTCATACTGGATTAAGGTCCCAGCCTTCTTTAGCAGGACCAAATCTTAAATTAACTAATTTCATCTGTAATTATATTATTTCCAAATAAGATCACATTTTGGGGTACTGGGTCATGACTGCAACAAATCTTTTGGAGGGACACGATTTAACCCAGAATATCTACTACATGCTGAGATGCTCTATGTAAATTAACATATTCAGAATGTGTTATTCATGACCCAAGGAGAAACCATATACGTTTTGAATCTTTCTTCCAATTGAGAGCTAAACAGCAACCTTGACTTCATAAGCAAGTGTAAGATTATTTTTACAAAATAACTCAAAATGCAAGAGTTGTAAAAATATTATGCAACAGAACAGTATAACAACTATACCGACTGGAGAGTGAAAAGCAAAAAGTACAAATAGCAATATAAATAAATACTTCATATCTTCTGAAAGACAGAAGATATGAAAAAAATTTCAGATATCTCTGAAATATAAGTCCAGTGATGTGCAATAATTAATAGACTTGTGAACTCAATTAATTATGTGTTTCTAGAGGAAGAACGAGAAAGTGCATTTTAGCAAGAATTCAGATAGATTCCAAGGATATCAGTAAAAGCAGAGGGGTATGCAGAAATTTGTTGTGGAGGTTATAAATTAAAGGGCAGTGATTATGCAGTTGTAGGCTCAATGTTTGATATTCATTATTTTTATCATTAATAATTAATTTCAAAAATTAATGTTATTTTGCCAAAAAATAGCATATTATAATTATATGTCAGCCCACATTGTTGAAGATTAAATTCATTATTGTATTAGCAAAAATGCTTTATAGCATTGAATTAATCAAAACATTAAATTTAAAACTTCACATAAAAGAAATTCATACTTCATATAAAAGAAGTATGGAGCTAAGTATTCCAGGGTTGAGCATCTATGGAGCTCTCTATACCATACCTCACTATTCTTGTTTATGGTTTTTAAGTCGATTGTTTTATTTTGACTTCTGGAACTCCAGTTATGACAATGTTAGGCTAGTATAAAAAACAAAGGGAGGCCCCAGCTGTACGTAGCTGCCTGGGTTATCTTGCGCCTTGGTAATTATGACACTGCTGAGTCAACAGCAGCCAATATCTGTTAGACATTCTGAGCCTCATTTACGCCAGCTCTGCGTTGACTATACCAGGATGCCAGAATAGTGGAAAGGAGAAAGAAAGGGAAGAAGGCAAGCCCTTCCCTAAAGATTCAGCCACATTGAAATGGCACTGTCAGTCTCACCCAACACTTGCTCTTATCATTCACTACCGAGAACTTCTACCTAATGGGACAAAAAAGAGGTTGCAAGTAAACATATTACTCACCCAAACTTTGTAAGGAATATTGTGCCCAGATTGAAAAAGAGCTTGTGTTTCTTAGGAGTAAAGGTAAGATGGATATTGTATTCTCTATTGGAGAACCCAAATATGAAACAGCTTGCTAGTGTCAGAAGTATTGAACTCAATCTTCAGATTTTCAATTATGTAGACAGGGTGAATTAAGTTCAAAAAGGTTATTTTGCAGAGGTCATCCCAATACTTAATGCAACTATAAGAATGTAAATCCAGGTCTCCTGGACACCAATTCATGCTTGATTTGAATATAATATGCCCCTTTGAATGTAATTTTTTCTAGACAAGGACAAAAATTATATTTACAGCTTAAATACAAAAGAATTACTTCCAAATGTTTAGTTTTTCCAGTCATCTTTAAAAATGAAATGTAAAACATGGATATAAGTGTTCAAATCATAAATGCTAAATTTCAATAAATTATTTAAAAATTAACAATTTAATAATCACACACCAGTTTTAAAAATTACTGATACTGGTATTGCTCCTGTCCTGCCACCTCTGAGTCAGTAATTTCTTCACTCAAAGGCAAGTAACAGCTTGATTTTTAACCCCATAAAAGTTTGCCTAGCTTTGTATTCTAGATTTATAAAATCATATATTTGTATGCATTATGTTTCTAAAATTTAACTTAATATGTCAACATAACTAGTTTATTTTTTTAATACAGTATCCTTTTATGCAGACTTTTAATATTCTATTGATGATATATTTGAGTCACTTCTGTGTTCTGAATACTGCCTCTATTCTAAATACTGCCTCTATGAATATTCTTGCACATGGGCTTGAAGCATATATACAGTAAGTCCTTAACATTGTTGATAGGTTCTTGGAAATGGTGACTGTAAGCAAAATGATGTATAACTAAATCAATTTTACTGTAGGCTAAGTGACAAAAACAAGAGTTAATTTCCCATATCATAGTTCTGGTCACAAAAACATTACCCAACTTCCAAATAAAGACCTGAAAGACTTCTATCATTGAACATTAAAATAAATATGAGCTATATATACACTTAAGAAAGATTAATAAAAACAGGTAAGATAATAACTCACAATTTTTAGTGAATCAGTGAGTGATGGTGGTCATCGTGGTGAGTTAAATCAAGGAATAAGTGGTTGCAAAGCAAAAATTGTAAGGAGCACCTTCTACAGCCATGCAGGTCAAAAGCAATCACAAATATGGCAGGCTTGCTGAGAGCTTTCCTCCCACATCATTTATTGCTGTGCATTTGTCTAATCATCATATACTTTACAGATGTTTATTTTAGGACAATTTGTGTTTGGCATCCATTCACTTTCTAATCTTATTCCCCAGTGCAGGGGCACAGGTGACCACAGCCTATCCTGGCAGCTCAGGGCCCAAAGGAAGAACCCACCCTACGCAGGACAGTATTTCATTGCAAGACACACTCACACACACTCCCACCCTCATTCAGACTGCAACCATATAGACATGCCGAGGAACCTAACATGCACATCTTTAGGGTGCGGGAGTAAACAAGGAGACCTGGAGAAAACCCAGGCAGACATGGGGAGAACTTGCAAACACCGCAGGCAGTGGCTCCAGACAGGAATCATTTTTTTTTTTTTTCTCATCAACATTATATGAAAATAACAAAATGATGTTGAATTAAATGACATTATTCAAGGAACTGTGCATTTCCATTTGCTAAGAGAGAAATTGCTGGGTTATATTTTGTGTATTTAACTTCACTGAACTCTCCAAAGGGTTTGCAATCATTTTACTTCCATCATCAGCTATTGGGAATCCTATTTGTTCCATATTTTTTTACCATTACACAATGTTGTGATTGTTTAGATAGATAAGAGAGAGAGAGATGATAGATAGATAGATAGATAGATAGATAGATAGATAGATAGATAGATAGATAGATGATAGATAGTAGATAGATAGATGATGATAGATAAGATAGATAGATGATAGATAAGACAGATGGATAATTGATTATAGAGATAGATAGATAGATAGATAGATAGATAGATAGATAGATAGATATTACTCACGTAATAGACACAGGTGAGTTATATCTGAGCAAAGGCTTTTCCTCAGTGAGGAGCAAATTTCATTCTTATGGTTTCA